CTCCAAATCACAGCAAAGTCATGCCATGCCGTCCTGCTTGGCTTCCAACTTTTCAGCTGTCCTTTCCAGAGAACAGAGCACAATATAGTCTGCACTATACCATTATAGACACAAAAAATCATAGACTGAAAATATTTGAAAAAAAAGAAAGAAAACTCATCATTTCTGGACAAAACAGGCCATATTGTCATTACGGTTTTTATAATAGTATCTGACAACTATTTAGATGGTGTTAACATTGTATTGGGTATTTTAAGTAATGGAATGATTTATGGGTTATGAAAAAGTGCAAATAGGTTATAGGCACATGGAATGCTGTTTTACAGAAGAGGCTTAAGTGCGGGCAGATTTTCATATCTGCCCAGTAGTCCTGGGCCTGATCCTCTGCAGTCACCAACAGACAACTGTACTCTGTTTCATCACAGTCAAGGAATGACTTTCCTTTCCACTAGCTGTCTACTCTAAGAAGGTCCATGTTCCTTGTCATCACTTCTGTATTATATTAGAAACTTCCTGTGAGAAAGGTCAGGTGTGACCACCACGGCTTTCAACTGAAGAGACTGTAAGCCCATGCATGGAGATCTCATAAGTAATGGTACCTGTCAAGGGCTCCTTAACGAGAAGACTTGTACTTTCTCTTTCACTGTGTGTCGCCCAAAGAGGAAAGGCGGCAGCTTTGCAATAAACCTCACTGCACCTACACAGCACCTGCAGAAATTATTTTAAAAGTGCATAAACTTCTAACATGGGTGTCTTCGTGGAGATAGCAGGTGTCTCGGAGGTGGTTTTGTTCTCAGAAGCAAAACCAAACAATTTGCTGGGGATCATGAATTTATATTTATTTCCAATGCTGAACTAGTAGAGGGTTTCTTAAGGCACTAGGCCATAGAGACCAAGGCAGAGTCTCAGCCCAAAGAATGAAAGACATAGGAGGTGCAGGGAAAGCTGGGTGTGGTGGGGCATGCCTTTAACTCCAGCACTCAGGTGGACCTCTGAGTTTGAGACCACCCTGGTCTACATAGTTGTACATAGTGAGTTCCAAGACAGTCAAAGCTATGCAGAGAGACCCAGTCTTAATTTAAAAAAAAAGAGAGAGAGAAAGTGGGTAGACCTACAGTTGGTAGGTAGGATGAAAAGTCAGCACACACACACACATACACACACACACACACACACACACACACACACTCATCCACACATGAAAAGAGTTCAAACCTAAGACCAATGCTCAAGGAGCCAACCAGAAAGGTGCAGCCTGAACAGAAAGTCCTTTAGAGTCAGATTTGCTTCCAGCCAAGCTCCCCCTCCCCCCCCCCGCACACCCATGCTTCAGATTCATTATCTACAACACCAAAAAGCTCATAAACCATGAAGCTCAAATAAGATGCAATGTACATGTCTGGGAAGAAGACTCAGTCGATAAAGCTCTTGTCCTGCCAGCCTGAGGAGTAAAGTTCAGCCCTACGATCAGCTTAAAAGCTGAGTTGGTATGGTGGCCGCCTGTAATCCCAGAGCTTGAGAGTCAGAGACAAGGTATTTCTTCCCAGAGCAAGCTGGCTAGTTAGACTGGCCAGAATCAGACAGCTCCAAGTTTAGTGAGAGATCCTGCCTCAAAAACTAAAGTGGAGAGAGCTCTACAAAAGACAATGTCAACGTCAGCCCTCCACATGCACCTGCACACACACACGCACACACTCATGTGCACGCACACACATGTCAACATGGACATGCACATCTACACACATGTACCCACACCCATGCTTCACACAGATGCACACAAAGATTCAACATGCTGTGATACTTCCCACAGTGCCTGATAAAGAGACTGTAATAAGTATTACAGTCTCTCTACCTCTCCTTCGCCTTCCCTGTGTCTTTCCGAGTTTTCCCCTTTTCTATTTTACCGACTTAAAATACAGCAGTTCTAAAAATGAGTTCCTACATATTATATAGTCATTTACACATATGTATCTGTTGCAGCACCATAATTTGCCAAGAAAAAGGAAGTAGTAATTTTAACAGAAAAGAGCCGGATCACTTGCACTGCCTGCTCAAACCTTTAGCTTTACAGTCTACGGGGACTATGTGCTCTTGGGGTGCAGATTCTGAAATAGAGGAAAATTCTCATTGGAAAAATCATCCCCCCCAAAAGAGCAGCCAACAAAGAAAAGATAATGAGGGGAAGTCTAGGGGTATATAAAGGAGTTTATTTTACTTAACAAAGTAAAAATCAGCAAAATGAATAATCTGCCTCCAGAAATGGTTATTTAAAGGCTTTTTGTAAAGGGCTCTGGTTCCTAAAAAGACAGGAGTCACTGCATATGCCCACCCACTCTTCATTTATTTTTAAACTCTAGCTTATATGTTCCTTAGCAACAAGAGGAACAGATGAGACCCTCCCTACACACACACACACACACACACACACACACACACACTCCTCCAAAGCCCCCTTCTTTCACACCAACTTTCACTCCACAAATGTTCATGTTCTTCAAGACATTTCCACCTGCTTGAGAATCTCCACTTCACCACCTCAAATGATCCCCTTACATGGAAGCTCTACCTCCCACTCAGATACACACTTCTGCATAGACTGTGTTCCCCGGGGGGCCTTTCTGATTCCTCTCCCTTCACTCCTACCAGTTCCCACCCTAAGCCATGCCCAGAATCCTCAGGATCACATGGAGGCAGTAGGGGACCCCATGAGGAGCCAACAACCAGATCAACTTTACAGATTTCTCATCAGCCTTTCATTAAAACCATCAAGTCCAGCTCCATCTCTAAGTCCAGCAAAGAGAACCACCCTGGCAAACAGATAGACCATTTCCTCTGACTCTAAAAATAAATAAATAGCAGTGACCAAAATACAGAGATTATTCAGGATAAACACATGCCAGGTGAGATCGTTCCTCACTGCCCTTCTTGCCTTGGAGGCTATCTGCTTGGTTTGGCTGGACAGTTTATGAGTTCAAGGGTCAATTATTGCACGTCTGAGACAACAATTCTCAGGTAGTGATGTGTAAGCATCCCCTTAGGAGTGTGACAACCGTCCTCACCCACAGAGAGTGGAGGCTGCACACCTGAGGTGCTCTGTGTGCCAAGTGTCACTGCCCTGGTAACGGTGGGGCTTAATTTAAAAAGAAATAGCGTCCGATAAACGAAATCCACCACTGTGGGGTTCAAGACAGGCCAGTATCGTGTGCTATTCCTCGCTTGCTGCCGTTCACACATCTGTGTTTGTGTGTGTACACACGTCCACGTGCCTACGGGAACATGCCAGCCCGAGAGCTGCAGCCCCAACAGTATGCTTTTCCAGAAGACAGGCTCAGAGAATGACCCCTGCCAAGAGGCAAGCTGAGGAGATTTCCCTTGCAAATTCTAGCTTCACAGCCCTACCCAATAAGGAGTCTCATGAATACCAATAACCCAGGAGCTTCTCTTAGCCCAGAAGCCAGACCCACAATGTACTTCACATAATAACACCGCCCCCCAGCAACTCACAGTTCCTAAACTAGGCTGAATAAAGTCCCTGTTCCCCTAAGAGCCAGACAGACCATCGTAAGTAGAGCTGCCCGTGTCCTAGCATCCCTCCCTAGAGCTACCCCACTCCCTACCACCCGCCTATTTTTAGAACCCGAAAATATAAAAAGAAAGATCCATTTGGATCTGGCCTGTGTGTGTAACTAAGAGAACAACTCAGGTGGGAAACTCCCTCTGCGTGGAGAAGGGAATGCAAGTGGTGGATGTGGTGGCAACCACCTGGCGAGGAAGACCATTTGGGAAAGAGCAGAAACCCTGGCGACAGGGCCTCCAGTCCAGGCAGTGCCTGTGGGGATCCCAATGATTCACACACCTGCCCCCATAAACAGAGCACACCCTCGCAACCCACACACCTCTGTCATCTGCTTTTGCTTACATAACAGCACATGGTGTGACAGGCTTAATACTTTAGGTGGTTTTCTAAAAGGGACCTGCTAACCCAAAAGGAAGCAGGCTACAAGGATGCCTTCCCCGACCCCTTTTCAAGTATTCCTTTGAGACCCAGCAAGTACAAGCCTTCATAAATCTATGCTAGGATGTTTGCTAAACTTTGAAAAAAAGACATTACCGAGGGTGGTCCCGGCACCTTCTCTCTTGCCTGGGAATGGAAGGGAAGGGTAAGGAACCTCACTTTGGTTCAAATCCTGACACAGTTTGGGCTTCTTTAAACGTAATCGGGTGGACATTTCATCCTCTACTGTCCTTGTGTCACAAACACATCCACCCCCGGGGCCAGCACAGTGTCTTCTCACCCTCACCCATAGCTTGGGAGTAGGCTGCCCACATCATCTGCTGGGCACACCGAGAGAAGGAGATAACACATGTGCACGTAATGCCAATACCTACTGACATACCTCCGAGACCAGCATCCCACTGATCCTTAATGGGATTTCAAGATAAGAACTTCCATAAGGATTTCTATTCTGTATAAGGTTGTTCTTTCCTGCCTGTCAGAGCAGATCTCGGCTATCCAGTTAGTGCCCACGGCTCCCCCAGGGAACTCTGAAAGACAGGGGGAGTGCTGGAAATGACACCAGCGTAGGGGCAACTTGGACGACTTTTCTTTAAGCTGGGCATGTCTGGGTCTGCACCCACTACCCATGCACTCACAGACGCGGTTTAATCTTGTTCTGACCTTAGCGTTTTCTCCTGTTACAAATGCCACCCCTCCTTGGTGTGGCAGGGACAAGCTGAGGGTATCCCGCTTCTTCCCTCCAGCTCAGTATTAAAGGATGAGAGAGAACAACACATATCCCCAGGAGAGAGAAGGAGGGGAGAGACAGACAGACAGAGATTCGGAAACAGAAAGAGGGAGTGGGAGAGTCAGGGACACAGAGAGAGTTGAGGAGAGAGAAAGAGCTGGAGATACAGCCCTAACTCCACAAAGTACCTCTCTGGAGCAAGAGCAAGTGTCCCCCGCCCTGGGTGGCACCTGTCTTGCTGGCTCCCGCGCCTACCTGTAAGAGACCTGCTTCCGGAAAGTTAAGTCCCTCAGCTTCTCCTCCAGCGCCTCTTCCTTCTCCTTCTGTCCGGCGGCCGCGGGCTCCTCCAGGGCGGCAGCAGCCGCTGCCCCTGCACCCCGCGGGTCCGCACCGCCCTCGGCGCCTAGGCAGCAGCTCCCGGCGCCGCTTCCGCTGCTGCTGCTGCCACCCGTCGCCCCTTTCTCCTCTCCCGCCGAGGAGCTGGGGTTCATGGCGACCGCTCCGGCGGCCGCGGAGGAAGCCAAGGCGGTGCCGCTGCAAAGGCCGGGCGGGCTGAGGGAGCTGGAGGCGGCGGGAGCGCGTGCAGGTCCGCGCGCCGCTGGCAGGGGCAGCAAATGGCAGCCCCTTCCCGCAGCATCCATCCGCGGCTGCACCGCACCGGGGCATTGTGGGAAACTCCGTGCCTCCACTCCCCCTCCCCAACCAATCAGAGGCCACCTCTCTCCGCCTCCCCTCGGCCTCGCCCGACTAGCCGGCTCCCTCCAATTCTCCCACCCCCTTTTCTTTTTTCTAAATCCAGAGCAAAAGCCGCGGCTGAACTTGAACTCTGCCTGCAGGCAACGAACGCATTGGAGCAGAGAGGGGAAGGTATAGGGAGCCGCTGGGGACGAACAACGGCCATCAGGAAAGGAGAGTGTCCTGGGAAACTTGGAGGCAAGCCTGCCGCGCCCTGCTTAGCACACAAGGGAAGCGGACCCGGACCCAGGAGCTACTCTGCCCTGGTAGTGGCTGGTGAGCTTCTGGACACGGCTTGGTCTCAGTCCACTGATGCCAGGTTCCAGAGGCAACATTTTCTCCATCACCTCCCTGCAGCCCCAGAGCTGGCACCAGGCAATAACCTCCAGACGTGGAGGACCTTTAGGGGGATGTATCTGGAGCACTGTTGGTAGGACCCTCAGGGGGAATTCGTTAACCATGAGAATTATATAGGGGGTTAGATTTAAGCGCCAGTTTCTTTTTCTCTGGGAGAGGGTTGGGACATCTTCATCCATGAACGCCCTCGCCCAGATCCTTACTTGATGCCTTCCAAAAGCTTAGAGGTGCTCCCTAAACAGCTGTTAATTAGATTGAATCGGATCACTGGATCCTCGGTGAAGCAGAAGGCTGAGCGCATCCTTGAGGCAGAAGTGAGGATCTGAAACCCCTCCTGCTGTGGTTTCCCATGCCCTGGGGTTGCAGGATGAGGAGAGGAGGGGCTCACTCAAGAAGGGGCTTCTAGCGGTTCAGAACCCGACATTGAAAGCAACTGCGCTGTCAAAATTTAACAACTGCTCCTCTCTCTGTCTCAGTTTTTGTTTCTAAGATTATTGAAGTCTGTGCAATTTGAACGATGGGCTGCAAAGTGTTTAAGACAGATCATTTTCTAAATTAGAGGTTTTTCACCCAAGAAATCTCTGCTGTCAGCAAACAGAAGAAAGATCTATACTCTACAGTAGGTGTGTGTAACCAAACTACATACGTAGATGTGGTGCTAGTAAAGACGGACGAGAGAGCAGTCGCCGGCTGACTTTGCCTTAGCAGAAACAAATTCTTAAATTCCTCTGCCTTTCTTTTGCTACAACTAAAATTAGGGGCTTGAGCAGAGGTATCTCAAACGTCTTCCAGGTCTCACAGTCTGTAATTCCTCTCACACATGCATTATATAAGATAGAGGTAGGGACATTTCCAGGGAGAAATGAAGAAAGAATATCTGTTGGGGGGGGGTCAGCGCTACACACACACACACACACACACACACACACACACACCTGCATTTCCTTAGCACCCTTCAAGTAGCTGGTCCTTCTGCCTCCCTGGAATAGTGTACACCACACACACACACACACACACACACACACACACACACTTCAGAAGAGGCTTTAACCACTTTTAAGGCAAGATCCACAAACATCTAGATTAAATGTCATCCTCTCTAAACTCCTGGACCACCTTCCTCAGTAGCCACACCTTCCCCAAACCTTTTCTGCCATGTCACCCTTCTAATGGACTATCATCCTTAGGGTAAAGTTCACATTGTTTGGGGATAGGTGGCTGATCTCTAAAGACCATATGAGTACATGGTGGAGGTTGCCCACTTCCCCTTCACCCAGAGCTGGCTTATGTGCAAATTTATTTCATCTTCTTTCTGCTCTTTCCACTCTTATCCTTGCACACAATGACCTGCTGTCTCCTATTCGATCTCCAGGATCCACCATGTCCCTGTTGTCTCCTTCACCTCCGTTGGGTCTTAGTGCGCACATCTATCTCACCCAGATGCCCCCATTGAGGACCCTTCTAGAATGTGTTGAGTGTTCCCCAACAGGTTCCCATCATGTTAAGCTTGAACCACAGTAAGGGTTTTCCATCAGTCTCTCCCAAGTGTGTGTTCAGGCTACATTATACCCTCTGTTAACAGATCATACAGTATATGCTAGGCATACCTATCATATGCTATCATTGATTCTCGAGAAAGGAGCCTATTTGGCTTTGAAAATGCAAAATACACTCAAATTGACTTTTTTGCAAAACAGAAGCTTGAACTATTAAATGACACGTTAGAATAGTTTGCTAATAGATGGTGCTGGTGAAAATGGTGGGTAGGTAAATTGAGGAAATTTGCTAACATCTATCAGTGTATGAAATGTTTTACCTGAGTTGGGTGTGGTGGCTCACATCTGTAACCCTAGCACTTACTAGAGAGAGACAAGAGAATATCCTACTATACATAGGTTAGTCTAGTTTATGTAGCAAGTTCCAGTCAGCCATACTTACACAGCAAGACCATTTCTCCACCAGAGAGAGAGAGAGAGAAAGCATTTCCTAACTAACCCAACAATCCCTTTCTAGAAATGTTCCCTCTGGTGTGTTAGTAAGGATTCTCATAAGACTAAGAGTGGAAAGAGACTAGTAAATCTACATTAACGTTAATATATGACTAATTACCTATGACGAATGAAATTCTCTGCAGCCATTTGGAGAAATGGAGGAAATTATGTTATTATAAAATGTTCTCAACAATAATAGTGCCGCCTAAAAAGGAAAATAAGGGTCAAGAAAGATGTTCAGCATGCTCCTACTAATGGAAAAACTGGGACCTACATACACAAAATATACACAACATATATCCTCAGGCTTGAAATGAAATTATTGAGACATATCAAAGTGAGTATACATACAGAAAAAGAGAAAGCTAGAAAACAAAGCAATGGAGCCCAAGCAAAGTTGGGCAAACCTAGCTAGAATCTTGAGAGTTTGCATAATTCAATCAATATGTACTAACAGGAGACATTCTGTCTCCCAAGCTAATAGAAAAGCCTTCCCAGCCTATCAGGGTGCATATTTGCATACTTAAAGAGTCTTTCTGTGGGCTGCTAAACAAAAGAAAATGAGCTTTTCAATCTTGGTCTGTGCATATGCACCCTAAATTAAGACAGAGAGACATCTGGGAGGCACAGACAACTAAAGCATAAGAAAAATGAGTTCCTCTATGGCAGGACCTTCTGAGAAGGTACTGGAAAGATCAGTGATCCTTCTAAAGCATTTATTTCCCCTGATATTTTACTAAGCAAACTTGGAATTGTTCATTCAGTTTCCTATTTACTAAGATGTGGAATTCCTCAACATGGACCAGACGCATTCCAATCATAGAAAAGGGACACTGTTGAAAATCTGTACGATTCTGAGTGGCACGGTTTCAAATGCAACATGAACATCGCTGGGTACATGCAAACATTGGTTTCTGGACCCCACATAAACTGTAAGCCTCTCGTTGGACCCCACCCCATGGCAGAATCTCCATAACTTACATTCCTATTACTATTGTCCTTCAAGTAAACAACTAACATCCAAATTTTATCAAACTTGGTCTTCCGAATTTAAAGCTTGTTTTTACAATTTTGCATTTATTTATTTACTTACTTACTTCTTTATTTAATATGCCCATTATGTGCCACAGGGGAAATCCATTCTCTGCTTCCACCTCGTGGGCTCCAGGAATCAAGCTTGGGATATCAGTCTTGGCAACAGTCTCCAGAGCCATCTCAGGCCCCAGTTTGCTCTTACAAGGGGTGTGGGAGGGTAGGTTTTTTTAAAAAAAAAAAAAAGAAAGAAAGAAAGAAAATATTAAGTGTGTACTTTGTTCTAAGTCAGTTGAGAAGGTGCTGGGACTAGAAATTTAGCAACCTATAACACTGTAAGGCAACCGTTATTCCTGAAATAAGTATGCAGGAATTTTCATGTAATAACACAGGATCGTGTTTGGTAAAAAGCAGTTGCACAAGCATGCATATATTGAAGATCTCAGTTATTTATAGATCAAAATGAGTAATAAAGCTTCTAAAAATGGGTATATAAGAGAGAGAGGAGGAAAGAGTGAGAAAGGGGGGAATGACTATAACTGAAGACCTAAGGCAGGCAAGGGAGAGGAGTGAGGGAAGGTGAGAACAAGAGAGGAGGGGGGAGGGAGGGAAAGGAGGATGGAAAGTGGGGAAGAAGGAAGATTTTTCTGGAGCTGTGTGTATTGTGTTCCACAAACTGATGCCTAAAGTCTTCATGAAGTCTGTAAGGCCATGCAGGTCTCCCTAAGATTGCGCTTCTTCTACTTAGTACCCCAACTATCTGCCCCTCACCCAAGCAGAGCCTACTCACACCTCTGGACCCTACACCAGCTAGACCTCTACAGGAGGAAGCCACAAACCTTCACAGTTCATGCCACCAAGGCGTCTTGGTGAGTATTTCTTCTGACACCTCTAAGGCAACATTTATGAAGAACCTAACCAAATGTTATTAGGTAGCTGGGTAATGACAGTTTAACAAGCATTTATGTCCTAACTTTAGGGGCTGTTTGAAAAAAAAATACACATAAATTAAAACAAAGAGGTAATGTGAACAAATATGTTTTTGTCTGCATTCCTTAGAAACCAGATCCTGGGGCAAAGTTTGCAAACCAGGCATTTATTGGTGTCTTAGTTGAGATTTCTAATGCTGGGATAGAACACCATGATCAAAATAACTTGGGAAAGAAAAGGCTTTTCAGCTTACAACTCTCAGGTCACACTCCATCACTGAGAGAAGTCAGGGAAGGAACTGGTACAGATGGCCATGCTCAATGGCTTGATCCTCATGGTTTGTTCAACCTACTTTCTAATAGCACCCAGGTGTAGTTAGAGGCTGCTTGTTTGTTTCCCAGCTGCCCAGATTCCTGAAATAACCACATAGAAACTGTATTAAATAAATCATTTCTTGGCCCATTAGCTCAAGTTTCTTATTGGCTAGCACTTACATATTAATTTAACCCATCTCTATTAATTTGTGTATCACCACAAGATGTGGCTTACTGGGTAAAGTTCCAGCATCTGTCTCCTGTCTTCTTTCTCCCAGCATTCAGT